TCAGAACAAGCAGAAGGAGTTAAAAAAAAAACCAACAACTGAGTTTTTGGTCTCTTATATCAGTTTGTTTTGAACACCAGGGCCAAGAACATCAAAACACACATAGGAACTGTTTATTCTAAGTGCTGGAGTTACAGCCCTGGTCTCACCACCACCAGCTTGCTATGTCTATCCATCCTTTTGGAATGACTTTCAAATTCAATCTCATCAGCTCCAGTGCTGCCTTCAATTACAGTTACCCTGCAAAACCTACAGATCTGTAAATTCTTAGACAAGCCAAGTCACCAGAGCAAGATAAACAAGGTGAATTAAACACAGCACCCAGACACAGATGTTACAGGATGCAGTTACTTTTATGCATGATGAAAAAAATAGAGAGCATTCACATTCCAGCTCTTCAAGGGTCTTATTTATAATTTTTTCCAAGAAATTTAACTGAGAAATTAAGTACAGTAATACATTGAGCCAGGATTACATCACACAGGACCTACTTTGGCTTCACGAGGTCTTGCACCCTCTCAGCTTCTACACAAAACATGGATGTGTGCTGGGATAAAAGCATTATTTTTCCAACAGAAAAAGTAGAACAGCCCCACAAAATGAAGACTGAGGAACTGGAATCCCCACAGCCCTTCCAGAATTTGCAAAGCAATCAGAACAGTGTAAGTAAGTGCAGTGATGTTTATTTCTTCAAGTGTGGTATGATTTTCATTGTTCTAGAAATCTTTCGAGGGTCACTACAGAAGCCTAACTTTGAAACTGTTACGCTCCACAGAAGGCATGGATTAAAAAAAAATCAGATGGAGAAAAAAAAAAAAAAATCCATGTTTTGAGCACAACCCAGTATTTTCATGGCCAAACACACACTGTCTGTGAGGCCAGAAAGCCGACAAAGGCTTCAAAAACACACCACTAAGTTTCTTTTTTGTGACTTATTAGCAACAGCACAGTAAAGTACCTGTCTGCTAAGGCACAAACTTCCCTCCAGTGGGAGTTTAGCCAGGATCTTTATTTTATCAGTTTATTATTATTTCCATCAATAAGGACTGTCCTACAGTTCTTATAATTAGGGAAGGCAACTATCCTGAGGCTAATTTTCCTATATAAAAAGAGCCCAGTGTTGCAATGATGTTAAATATCCTCCTTTTTCTGGGCTGTGAGCTCCAAAGCAGCCTTATCCAAATAAACAAATAAGAAAAATAACCTTCTGAGAGAGCATCACTCTTCAGTTCAATTCTGAATTTTGCACACACTTTGCAATGTCATAATTTCACATTAAGCTCCCAGCATTAATATATATATATAAAAATAAATATATACTCTTGGTTGAATGAGTTAACTCCCACTTAAGCCCACCAACACCTGAAACTCTTCTGGAGAAGCTAATTAATTTTTAAAGAAGCATGAAGCTTTATTTAAAGGTAAACTTCAGGATATTGCCAGCAATCCTCCAAACATTATATGCATCTGGAATGTAACGAAAATTATATAAGCTGTAGAGAAGTTTGATCTGGTGAGGTTACAAAATGCTCTGACAAAACTTTAACATTCATACAGAAAAACTTGAAGATAAGCTTTATTAAGCCGGGGCTGGAATTGCTCTTAGAAAACAAATACTGAAATGCTTTTACCAACTAAAAAAAAGTAGAGTTATAGGATAATAAAAGTAGAAAAATGAGAAAGACATAGGCAGCTTGAACCATTAGCAATCCTGATGTTACTGAACACTTTATGTTGGCATTCATAGCTTACAAAATGATCCCAAAGCCCATTTTCAGATGATTTTTTTTCTCCTTTCCAAAATTCTGGCTTCCAAATGGTCCCAAGCATGCTATGGCACAGTATTTCTTCTTATACTTACTCCATTTAGTTCTGCCACAAATTTTTAGCAAAACCATGGAGACCTTTCACCAGCAGGTCCAACCAAAAGCTTCTCAGAGCCTTCAGGTGAGAAACAAAAAGTAATTGAGAGGCTTCTATTTCACCAGACAAGTATCAGGGCAGACCCCTTAAAATCAAAACTGATAAAGAAATCACATATAAAGATTATATATGTATATAAATATATATACATAGGAGCACAGATCTCTTTTTCCACAGTGTAAGAATGTAGTTTGGCAAACAATACAAGTATCAAAAGATTAATCTCTCTGTATGGCACTGAATAGTCTACAGGACTGCTAAGGACAATTTAAAACTTTCCTAAAGGTCAGTACTTGTACTTCCAAATCTTTTCTTCCATTTGGGAAAAACCCAACCAAAACAAAAAACCCAAACAAAACCCCACCAAACCAAAAAAACTCACCAAATAAGTCACCCCCCCCCCCAAAAAAAAAACCCACCCGAGCAAACCCAAAGTTTTGTCTAGTTTGCTTAGTTTTTTTTAAGTTCAGAAAAGAGATTAGGGCAAAGTAAAATGATTTTGTGAACAGAAGTCAGCTGTGTCTGAGA